TATTTTAAGCTTTTCAAAGATAATTTAGCTCCCAATTCCTAATTAGAGTAAAGAAATCCTAAAGGAAGGGAGGGCAAAGATTTCCTATACCTGCAATGTCAAATATGGTGGTTATTAACYCATGGATAGTTTGATTAGACAGAATTAATGTACAGCATGTGATTGAATTTTAAAGACTAAATRCAAAAATTAATGAAAAAATTAATTAATACTTTAATATCAATCTGCAAGAAAGAGAGCGAGCTGTCTTTTTGTTAGTTTGACTCTTTCCAAACATATGGGACAGTGTTGTTGTTCTAGATGAGCCAGAAGCTTCCTTGGGGCTTCCATCCTCAGCTTGAAAGCAGAGACCACCTTGCTTTTCTTTGTGCCTCACAAGTTGAAGARTTCCTCAGTTTATTCTTTGACTAGGACAATCTTTATAAGTTCTCTTCAAAAGAGGACTTGTAGTGTTGCAAATGTCAACTTGGCTTCTCTGAAATCATTTCCTATGAACTAGACATTGGTAGGAGTCTTGATTTGGGAATATGTTTTAGTTTTTGTTTTTGAGAAGCAGATAAAAAAACCAAAAAACCAAGTCAAAGAGATTCTTACAAATTGAGGGACCTGTAGGTAGTAAGTGCTTAAGAAAGATTTGGAACTTTCTTTTTTTTTCATTATTTTTATTGCTTCATGACAGCTATACATAACAGGATCATTTTGACATAATTATAAATGCATAGAATATAGTTGGCTCYAGTTCAGGACCTCATACTTCCCCTTACCCTCCTGGTTCTCTATCCCCYTGTTCCCTTTTCTCTACTCCACTGGCCTTTCTATTTATTTACATTTTTTTTACATTAGAATTTTTTGGATATATATAATAGTAAGTTTATAGTARTATATAAACTCTGAAGTATATTCAGGTATGTACATTGGAAAATTTGGAACTTTCTGTTGAACCAATTCTCCCTTGGACAATTATGTGCTATTTTTGTTTAACACAAATGAAAACTCATTACTTTCTTTGACAAACATTTGCTAGATGCTTAGGATATAAAATTAGATAAGACCTGGACCCCATAACCAGAGATCTTCAAGTCTGATAGAGTTGCAAAACAGGCAAAACAGTGTGATAAATGATATGATAGAGGGTCTGTCTAGGGTGCTGTACTGGCATACAGGTGAACCCCCAGATATGGGAATGAGGAAGGACATCCCTAGGTAGATTGAAATGATCTGAACCCTAAAGGAAGGGAGGGCAACAATTTCCTATAACTGCAATGTCAAGTATGGTGGCTATTAGCCCATGGATAGTTCGAGTAGGCCAATTTATGATACAGAGTGTGATTGAATTTTAATGACTAAATACAAAATATAATGGAAATATATTTAATTAATACCTTAATATCAATCAGGATTTTATCTGATAATGGCTTAGACATATTGAGCTAAATTCTATTATTAAGATTGAATTTTCAGTTTGTTTTACTTTTTTTAAATGTGGCTCTTTGACAATTTAAAATTACCTACATGACATTTTTTTTTTTTTTTAATATTGCTGTCCAAGGCAGAGACAATAGCTTAAACTAAGTTTCAGGAAAACAGTTCAATATATTAGGAAACTACGAGTCTTTTAACTAAAATACTAGGGCACAAGAAGAGCAGGAAATAAGTTGAGAGGTTTGGTGAAAGGCAGATTCTGAAGGGTTCTATAACTCATGCTRAAGATTTTGAAATCTATCTTGAAGGCACAGTGAAACTATTTAATGAATTTACCCACAGGAGGATTTTCTGATTGATTTCCTTTCTCTAAATGGTCTGCTTTCTTGTGCCATAATGCATTTGCAAAGTATGTTTTTACAGGGTTACAGGAAATAATTTTTGACTCATTTGACTAAAATTAGCTTAAAATTCATTTACGAAGGAGCTAAGGGAACTAGAGCCTTCCTCTAAGTTGCCTACCAGGTAGATGACTCCCATTTACTTTTGGAGACACCCTCAAAGTGATGAATGATTAGCAAATTACATTTGGAATATCTTGGATGCAGTGCTGGATTAATCATTCATCAAATCCTTCACATATTTAGGGAACCATCAAAACAGAGGCTCCAAAAGGAAAATTTTAAAGAACCATTCAAAATATAAAAATATTTACAGAATTATTGTTTTCTAGCTTTGTCTTTTGGACTATATTACATTTTTTTTTTAGTTCCATAGTTTAGGATGACTRCAAACTTTTCATTGCTTGTTCCTCCAAAAGTCTAAGTCCAGCCAAACTTCATGGCRTCAAATCAGAAACTAAGAGGACACTATTAGTTATTACTAATACRGAATCGTACAGTGTGGTGGAACATCACCATTGTTTCCTCAGCTATTCTCTTACAATTCCCACCTAAACTCTTTCTCAAAAGCCAATTGACTCTCTGCCTTTGTATGTCTCCTAAACTTGAAATAATTCAAATTACATTGGGCTCTTCAAGCCAGAATTTAGTACTTACTGTCTAAACTGTTACTGCTCTAATTTCTTGGTGCATTCTACTTCCAACTGCATTTGCAATCTGCACAGTTTCCTGCCAGAAAACATGATAATGGGATGTTAATTTAAAGGACAAATCTAGACATTATGATATGGCTCAGTGCTTAAAACCAAACCCAGATGTGCCTGGGCAGTGGCCATCCATTTCATTGCTCTTTTTTGTTGGTCACTATGCAGCCCTGGAGCCAGGAACAGTATGTCATCACCCATGACCATAAACCTATTCCAAATGGAAAACAATGAAGTTGTTTCAGTTATTCTTTTTGAAGGAAATGCATTAGGTTTTCATTGTAGCCTATCAGCCTACCACACCCCATGTTCTCTCAGTGTGGGAGTAGTCAAGCCTTGTTAAGAAGCAGTTTCATGAATGTGAGTCTAATATTAGATTGCAACTTTAAATTCAGTATTTACACATTTTCAGTTTCATGGTAAGATGGACAAATTCTAGAGATYTGCTGTRCAACATATTCCCTATAGTTAATAATATGATAATGTGCACTTTGAATTATGCTAAAAGGATCCTTCTCATGTTTACATGTTATATGTTCTGCATTTCCCTTTCCTTTCCCTCTATGTAGTAGTAACTTTCCTGAGAGGGAAAGAGAAAGAGAGAGAGAGAGAGA